TATTTACATATTTACACAGCACTACAGAATCTGGGTTTACATGAATCCTTGGAATTATTTCCATTTTTAGGTATGTGTGGGCCTGTGACACTCTCAATACTGCTGAGGTATTTGCACTGGTGGTTTAGTGGTAGAAAATTGTGCCGTCAACTCAAAGACAGGCAGTTTGAATCTATCAGCTGGTGCACAGAAGAAAGAGGGCTAGTTTCCTCCTCTGCATTTTCTGCCGATGGTGACCCAATGGAGCATCAGCTCTGAGTTGGTTCTGACTCGATGGAACACAACAACAATATTCATTCCTTAGCAGAAAGTTTGAAGTGGAGTCGGGAGGCTCACACCCTAAGTCTGACTTTTCACATCTGAGCAAACCACTGCATCCCTTTCCGCCATCCTAAACGGGAGCTGAGTCTCTTCTAGTCTATAGTGTCAAGACTGCACCAGCTTTCCTTTAGGCCCTGAGGCCCATCTATTCTGAGAATTGGTGTGCTTGAGTTAGGTTAAAAATTGGGCTTCTTGACAATTAAGACTCAGCGCAAACGCCACCTCCTCTGAGAAGCCCCCTGATGACCACCACGGCCATAAGAGATGGCAGCAGCCACAGTGGTCTCATGCTTTGCTGGTTTGTTCACTGCACCATGAAAAAGTATTCTTATGGTTTTTGCCTCTTGTTAGTGCACGCAGTAGGTGCTCAATAAATTCTTGTTGACACTCAAACTCAGTAGGACTGATGCCCAGAGAACACTCTCCCTCTGACTTAGGAGACAGTCATGTTTTGCTTGATTACAATGTAATATGATAATCACATTATTGTCTGCATTAATCAGTCTCCTTGAGTTAACACAGGGAAACGTATTCAAAATGCGTGACCTTGGAGGACATTATACTGAGTGAAATATCTCAGTCACAAAAGGACAGGTGCTGCATGGTGCCACTATTGTAGAACAGGACTGACATCGGGGTTGGGTTGAGACTGAGAAAAATTGGATAAATTATGCATACTGCATTGAAACAGATGAGAGAGAGAACTATTTGAAAGCGATATACAATTGGGTATTAAGGTCATGACAAGAGTCCAGAATGAAGCTTGTGTAATGGAGTGTACTCTGGGAGGAGGAGTGGGGAATCTATACCAATGAAATAAGTTTTCTTTTACTTTTCAAAGAGAAGTGTGAACTGGGGGGAGGGGTGGACCGGGAGTAAAATGCAACAATAAATGTATGGAAATCCAAAATCTCTGTAAACTTTCATTAAAATTAATTTTAAAAAATAAAAATTTTTAAGAATTGGTTATATATTTTAATTTTTCTTTCCTCAGATCTTGCTGCTATTCCTGACTTTCAGTCTGGTGCTATGGAAAACTGGGGGCTGACAACTTACAGAGAGTCATCTCTGTTGTTTGATGCAGAGAAGTCTTCTGCATCAAGTAAGCTGGGTATCACAATGACTGTGTCCCACGAACTCGCCCATCAGGTAGAGCTGCTCAGTCATACTTTTCCATTCTCATTTTAATTTTGTATCTTATGTAGTACACCTAATATGAACTTGTGCTTGGGTGGATTTAGTCATAATATAGCACAATAAAGACCAAAGCATTGGTCATCAGGCAATCACCATTCAGTTAACACACTTGATTGATTTTGTATAAAAAAGCTATGCTTCTAACTGAATTTTCATTGAAGTTTAGCACGATAAGTACATTGCATCTTTTTTTACAGAATTATACATCTCTGTCTCTAGACAAGAAAGCTCTAATTAGAGAATTCAAAGATTTCATTCCGTTTATATGCTTATGTATAGATACATAAACAGCATTCAGTTGTTGTGTTGAGTTGCCTGCAACTCAAAGCAACCCTATTTACAGCAGCTCTGAACCCTGCTCTATCCTGTGCCAACCTTACTGTCTCTGACACACCTGCTCGCATTACCCCAGTCACCACTGAGTCAATCCATCTCATCCAGGGTCTTCCTCTCTTGTGAGGTCCCTGCACCCTTCCAAGCAGGATGTCCCTCTCCAGGAATTGGTTCCTCCTTGCAACATACTCAAAGTATGTCAGAAGGAGACTCAAAATCCTTGCCTCCAAGGAGTAGCCTGGTTTCACTCTCTCCAGGATGAACCTGTTTGTTCTCCTAGTGGTCCATGGTATATTCAATACTCTTCTCCAGCACCACAGCTCAAAGACATCAATTCTCTATCTTCCCTTATCATTGTCCATCTTTCTGATGTATAGCATGTAATTGCAAAGACCATGACCTGGATCAGGTGCACTTTAGTCTCCAGACTGACATAGTTACTCTTCAGTGCTCTGGAGATGTCCCTAACAGCAGACACTCCCAGTGCAATTTGTCTTTTGATTTCCTGGCTGCTGGTACCAAGAGCGTTGCATCATAAAGTAATTGCTGACCAGAAATCTTCATTTGAGAAACTAAATACTGGATCCTTCCGGTAGTCAAACTCTACCTTTGAAAAAAAAGGCAAAATCTGCATAAATTGGGGAAGTGGTTTTAACATTTTTGTTACCCATTGACTATACTGTGTGAAGAAATTCTTCCATCCACAGAAATGACATTTAAAAATCTTTTCTAGAAATAACTCTTATCAATTGAGGTTGAAGAATGTCCAGTGAAAAGGATAATTTCATTTTACTTCCATTTTTCAAAAGTTCCATTCAATTTGTTATTTTTCTCCCCTGTGAAATTTTTAAAAAATTAAGTTCAGTGCCTTAACAGATCCTGTGGATTTGTTGTCATTATACAAAGGAGGGGGGAAATCATGAACAACATTTATTTAGACACAGTGTGTTTGCTGTCCTTTGACTTATCTTGGGTGGGAATTGAAAGCCTGATGGATAGGACAGGGCAGGACACTTGATGTGTCTGTGTTTAAGGTGGTTGAGAACATTATAGAAGACTGCTTTTGCCCAATTTCTAATGGAGGAGGCTGACAATAGTGGGATGTAAATTCAGGGTAATCTTCAGGTTCGAGATGTCATCAGTGATCCAGGATCACCTTGTTCTGGTGAAAGCTGGACTCTAACGCTGAATCATCTACGTTACTGTAGCTCAGTGTATCATTCCATGAACTTTTGTACTGGGAAGTAGACAGTGCCCTAAAACCTTGTTCTTCCTAACAGACCTATTAGACTGAACATTTTCATTTTAAATATTGTTGTTACATGCTGTTGAGTCGACCACGACTCAAAACGACAATGATTCACAAGTCACAATAGTTCCTGTCCGATCCTGAACCAATCTCACTGTCTCTGACACACGTACCTCTATTATCCCAGGCACTGGGTCAATCCGTCTCATCTGGGGTCTTCCTCTCCTGTGCTGTCCCTCCACCCTTCTAAGCTTGACATCCTTTTTCTCCTTCCAGCATGTCCAAAGTATGTGATGTGGAGTCTTAAAATCCTTGCCTCCAAGGAGTAACTTGGTTTCACCCTTTCCAGGATAGACCCATTTGTTCTCTTGACAGCCCATGGTATGGTCAATACTCTTCTTCAGCACTACAACTGAAAGGTTTTGGTGTTGAGTTTTTGGATGCATAACAAAAAAATTGCAAAGACCATTGCCTAGATCAGGTACATCTTAGTCTCTAGAATTATATCACTGCCCATGAGCTCTCTAGAGAGTTCCCTTGAAGCAGATTTTCCTAATGCAATTTGTCTTTTGATTTTTCTGACATTTGGTGCCAAGAATGTTGATTGTGGAGCTGGGCAAGCTGACATTGTTAACTATCTCAATCTCTTCTCCATCTATCATGGTGCTGCCAATTGGCCCAGTGGTAAGAATCTTTGTTTTCTTGATGTTGGGCTTCAATCCATATTGAAGACTACAGTCCTTGTCCTTCTGAAGCAAATGCTTCAGGTCCTCTTCAGTTTCAGCAAACAAGGTTGTGTCATCTGCATAATGCAGGTTGTTGATGAGTCTTTTTTCTAATCTTGAAGCCACATTCTTCCTCTTAAAGTCCAGGCTCCTGAATGATCAGTTTCACATATAGATTAAAAAGGTATGGAGACAGAACACATTCCTGACACACTCCTTTCCTAATTTTGAACCATGCACCGTTTCCTTGCTCTGTTCTGACAAGTGCTTCCTGTTCCAACTACAGATTTTTCATGAGCACTGTCAAGTGTTCTGGGATTCCCTTTCTTCTCAAGGTTAGACACAATTTGTTGTGATTCACACAGTCAAATGCCTTTGGATAGTCAATAGAACACAAATAGACATTCCTCTGGTATTCTCTGCTTTTGGCCAAGATTCATTTGGGTTTTGAATATAGATGGAAATAAGGATTGTGAAGGGTTTCCAAGGGTGAAAATCACATGGGAAGAGATGGCCTGTCTTTCTCTTGTTGAATTGCTGGTGAGAGCCACCTGCTGGAGAATCGTGGCTTTTGGGTTAGTAGTGCCATGCCCTATAGACTGCACTGCAAGAGTTCTCTAAACTGATGTTAGGCATCTAAGCATGCTTCCTACTGAATGCCTTATGTTTAGGGATGTACAGACACTTTGGTTTCCACAGACTTTTATGAATAATAACAGTAATATTTTCTTTTCAGTGGTTTGGCAACCTGGTCACCATGGAATGGTGGAATGATCTTTGGCTAAATGAGGGATTTGCCAAGTTTATGGAGTATGTGTCTGTCAAGGTGACCCATCCAGAGCTGAAAGTTGTAAGCTGAGTTTACTTATTTCTCTACATTTTAAGATAGTTGTTGTTTTATTCAGTATGTACAGAAACTACTTATTAATCTTTGATTATAGTGTTTATGTTGTTGTTGTTGTTGTTATGTGCCGTCGAGTTGTTTACAACTCATAGCGACCCTATGTACAACAGCCCTAAACCCTGCTCTATCCTGTGCCAATCACACTGCCTCAGACACACCCACCC